ATTTCCCAGCCCTGTTCCCACCCAGCTGCTCCCAATCCCATTTCCCATCTGTTCCCAATCCCATTCCCAGCTGCTCCCAATCCCATTCCCAGCTGCTCCCAATCCCATTTCCCATCTGTTCCCAATCCCATTTCCCAGATGTTCCCAATCCCATTTCCCAGCCCTGTTCCCAATCCCATTTCCCAGCTGCTCCCAATCCCATTTCCCATCTGTTCCCAATCCCATCTCCCATCTGTTCCCAATCCCATTTCCCATCTGTTCCCAATCCCATTCCCAGCTGGTTCCAATCCCATTCCCAGCTGGTTCCAACCCCATTTCCCAGCCCTGTTCCCATCCAGCTGGTCCCAATCCCATTTCCCAGCTGCTCCCAATCCCATTCCCAGCTGCTCCCAATCCCATTTCCCATCTGTTCCCAATCCCATTTCCCAGCCCTGTTCCCAATCCCATTTCCCAGCTGCTCCCAATCCCATTTCCCAGCTGCTCCCAATCCCATTTCCCAGCTGCTCCCAATCCCATTTCCCAGCCCTGTTCCCAATCCCATTTCCCAGCTGCTCCCAATCCCATTTCCCAGCCCTTTTCCCACCCCCGGAGCAGGACTGGGAGGCTGGGAAATCCCTGGAATGTTGTCCCAGCCCACCTTGGCCTCGTCCAGCTCTGCCCTCTCCCGGGAGAGCAGCTGATCCCGGAGCTGCCGCTGCTCCCGCAGCTCCTTCCGCAGGGAATCCGCCCGGGATCGCTCGGCCCGGGCCCGGCGGCGCTCCTGGAAGGGCAGGGGGGGCTCCAGGGATCGATCCCACCCGGAGCGCTCGGGAACGGGAATGGATCGGGAATCACCTGCTCCAGGAGCTGTTCCCGCTCCGCCAGCCGCGATTCCAGGGAAGCCACGGCCTCCTGGAGCCGGTCCCGCTCCCGCTGCTGCCGGCACAGCCGCGCCTGGAGCGCTGGGACACGGAAAACCGGGATTGGGGGGCTGGGAACTGGGAATGGGGTCATGGGAACTGGGAATGGGGTCATGGGAACCGGGAATGGGGTCATGGGAACCAGGAATGGGGTCATGGACAGCGGGAATGGGGTCATGGGAACAGGGAATGGGGTCATGGACAGCGGGAATGGGGTCATGGGAACAGGGAATGGGGTCATGGGAACAGGGAATGGGGTCATGGGAACTGGGAATGGGGTCATGGGAATCGGGAATGGGGTCATGGGAACTGGGAATGGGGTCATGGGAACTGGGAATGGGGTCATGGGAACTGGGAATGGGGTCATGGGAACCGGGAATGGGGTCATGGACAGCGGGAATGGGGTCATGGGAACCGGGAATGGGGTCATGGGAACTGGGGATCCTGGGCAGCAGGAATTGGATCCCATTCCCAGGCCTTTTCCAGCCCTGGCTCCCGGCCTTTGGAACCCTGGGAGCGACTCATCCCGGTTTTCCAGGGGGATCCCAGAGGGGGAGCAGGAGCAGCCACGGCCCCTCCAGGGCTGAGCCGGACACAGAGCCTGCGGAGCTCAGGGAATTCCCGGAATCTCAGGGAATTCTGGGATCTCAGGATCCCCTGGGACACCACGGGGCTGCCTGGATTCCCTGGGATCAGCACCGGGAATCCCTGGAATGAGGCGCGTGGAGGGAACGTTACCTGAGAGCTGCTCATCCCGCTCCGGGGACAGGGGGGGATCCCGGGATTTGGGGGGATCCTGGGAGTGATCCTGGGAGTGATCCTGGGGGAGATCCTGGGATTGATCCTGGGGGGGATCCTGGGATGGTCCCGGCATCTCCTGCTGCTCCTCCCCCACCTTCCCACAGCTCCTGAGAAGGGATCAGGATAGGATGGATGGGATGGGATGGGATGGGATGGGATGAGATGGATGGGATGGATGGGATGGACTGGGATGGACTGGGATGCCCTGGGAATGCCCCCAGGCTCAGGGGATCTCTGGGGGTACCTGTGGGGCCCCTCCCCCAGCTCCAGGTGCCGCTGCCGCCTCTGGACACTGCCCAGGGAGAGGCTCCGCTCCAGCTCCAGCGCCCGCACCTGCGGGAATGGGAATGGCAACGGGAACAGGGACCCCCCACGGGTGACACCCCACCCCTGGGTGACCCCCCACAAACGGGTGACCCCCACCCACAGGTGACCCCCCCCAAGGGTGACCCCCCACCATCCCACGTGGTGAACCCCACCCACAGGTGACCCCCAAGGGTGATCCCCCATCCCACGGGTGACCTCCCAAGGGTGACCCCCCACCCACAGGTGACCCCCTGGGCCCCACCTGGAGCTCCAGCTCCGCCACCCGGACCTGGAGACTGAGCAGGGAATAATCAGGATGGGCCGGGAATGCTGGGAATGCTCCGGGATCCCTCTGGAATGGCTGGGATGGGAATGGTCCTGGATCCTGGAACAGCTGAGATGAGAGAGATCCTGGATCCTGGAATGGCTGGGCTGGGAATGCTCCTGGATCCTGGAATGGTCGGGCTGGGAATGCTCTGGGATCTTGGAGTGGCTGTGATGGGAGAGCTCCTGGATCCCTCTGGAATGGCAGAGCCCCTGGATCCCTCTGGAATGGCTGGGATGGGAGAGATCCTGGATCCCTCTGGAATGGCTGGGATGGGAGAGATCCTGGATCCCTCTGGGATGGCTGGGATGGCAGAGCCCCAGGATCCCTCTGGAATGGCAGAGCCCCAGGATCCCTCTGGGATGGCAGAGCCCCAGGATCCCTCTGGAATGGCAGAGCCCCAGGATCCCTCTGGGATGGCAGAGCCCCAGGATCCCTCTGGAATGGCTGGGATGGGAGAGACCCTGGATCCCTCTGGGATGGCTGAGATCCTGGATCCCTCTGGAATGGCTGGGCTCCTGGATCCCTCTGGCATGGTTGAGATCCTGGATCCCTCTGGGATGGGATAGATCCTGGATCCCTCTGGAATGGCTGGGCTCCTGGAACTGTGTCCTGCTCTCCTGGAAGTTCCCTGCTCTCCTGGGAATGCAGCCCCAGCCCCTCCCCCAGCCCTTTTCCCAGGATCCCAGAGGGTCGGGAATGTCTCTCCCGGGCCTTGGCCTGGGCCCTTTTCCGGGCCAGGGCCGAGCTCAGCCAGTTCTGATCCCGCAGCTCCGATCCCGGGAAATCCTCGGCCCCGGATCCCAGTCCTGGGAAATCCTCATTCCTGGATCCCAATCCTGGGAGATCCTCATTCCTGGATCCCAGTCCTGGGAGATCCTCGGCCCTGGATCCCAATCCTGGGAAATCCTCATTCCTGGATCCCAATCCTGGGAGATCCTCGGCCCTGGATCCCAGTCCTGGGAAATCCTTGTCCTTCAATCCCAATCCTGGGAGATCCTTGTCCTTGGATGCCAATCCTGGGAGTTCTTCGTCCTTGGCTCCCAATCCTGGGAATTCCTCATTTTTGGCTCCCAATCCCAGAAATCCCTTGTCCTTGGCTCCCAGTGCCGGGAATTCCTCGTCTTTGGCTCCCAGTGCCAGGAATTCCTCGTCCTTGGCTCCCAATCCTGGGAATTCCTCATCCCTGGCTCCCAATCCCGGGAATTCCTCGTCCTTCAGCCCCAGCCAGGCGGCCCCGGCCCCGCCCCCCCTCAGGGAGGGCCTTGGGGACTCCCTCGGGAAGAGGCCGATCCCGCCGGGAATCCTGCGGGAAACGGGGGGGCTGAGGGGGGAGGGACACGGGAATATTGGGAGAGGGGGATGGTGGGATAGTGGGATATTGGGATAGTGGGATAGTGGGATAATGGGATAGTGGGATAGTGGGATATTGGGATAGTGGGATAGTGGGATATTGGGATGGTGGGATAGTGGGATATTGGGATGGTGGGATACTGGGACAGTGGGATAATGGGATAGTGGGATATTGGGATAGTGGGATATTGGGATACTGGGATAGTGGGATGGTGGGATATTGGGACAGTGGGATACTGGGATAGTGGGATATTGGGACATTGGGATAGTGGGATATTGGGATACTGGGATAGTGGGATGGTGGGATATTGGGACATTGGGATATTGGGATAGTGGGATATTGGGATGGTGGGATACTGGGACAGTGGGATACTGGGATATTGGGATATTGGGATGGTGGGATATTGGGATATTGGGATGGTGGGATACTGGGACAGTGGGATACTGGGATATTGGGATATTGGGATGGTGGGATACTGGGACAGTGGGATACTGGGATATTGGGATATTGGGATGGTGGGATAGTGGGATATTGGGACATTGGGATATTGGGGACACCGGGGGGTCCCCCCCTACCTGAGCCCCCTCCTCCGGCCCCGCCGCCCCTCGGAGGCCACGGAGGGCTCGTAGGATCCCAAGGGAAAATCTGGATCTTCCCACGGCCCTGCCCGGGAAAAGTGCCTGGTCAGAGCCTGGAAAAGCCCCTGGAAAAGCGCCTGGAAAAGAGCCTGGAAAAGAGCCTGGAAAAACCCCTGGAAAAGAGCCTGGAAAAGCATCTGGAAAACAGCCTGGAAAAACCCCTGGAAAAGAGCCTGGAAAAGAGCCTGGAAAAGAGCCTGCCTGGGAATTCCCCCAGGGATTGGGCCTTGGGAAACAGCCCTGCCCTGCTCCTCCTTCCTGGGAATTCCCGCTGAGATTGAGCCTTGGGAAAACACTCCTGCCCTGCTCCTCCTTCCTGGGAATTCCCACTGGGATTGTTCCTCTGGGAAACAGCCCCACCCTGCTCTTCCCGTGGAATTCCCACCTGGAATGTGCCCCTGGAAAGCCCTTCCTTAACCCCCCCTCCCAGGGCGCTTCCCACCTGGCTGCTCCAGATCCGTGGGATCCAGTTCGGATTTTCCCTTGGAATCCATCCCGGATTTTCCCTTGGGATCCATCCTGGGTTCTCCCTTGGGATCCATCCCAGATTTCCCCTTGGGATCCATCCCAGGCTCCTCCTTCTCCATCTGCTCCAGGATTTTGGCTCTTCCCCTGCGGAGCTGTGGGCTGGGAACACCGGGAATGGAGGGACATGGGGGGGGACAGGGGGGACATGGGGACACAGGGGGGACATGGGGAGGTGGCACCCCCTGTCCCTGTCCCACTGTCCCCTCCCCTGTGTCCCTGTCCCTCCCTGTCCCCTCCCCTGTCCCTCCCTGTCCCCTCCCTGTCCCCTCACCTGTCTGTCATTCCCGTCATTCCCGGGGCTTTCCCGGCTCCTCCCAGGGAATCCACCAGGTCGGTGACGTCACCCCCGGGGGGGACACCTGGGGGGGGAGGGGCACCTTGGGGACATCCCATGGGAATCACTGCCCTGGGAATGGGGACTGATCCCATGGGAATCACTGCCCTGGAACTCTGATCCCATGGGAATCACTGCCTTTGGAATCTGATCCCATGGGAATCACTGCCCTGGGAATGGGGACTCTGATCCCATGGGAATCACTGCCCTGGAACTCTGATCCCATGGGAATCACTGCCCTGGGAATGGGGAATCTGATCCAATGGGAATCACTCCCTTTGGAATCTGATCCCACAGGAGCTGCTCCAGGGGAAAGGCCCAGTGGAATTCCCGGTACCTTCCTGGGGATCCAGCGGCTTCCCGAGGCTTTTCCCGGTCCCAGCTCCCGCCAGCCTGGGCCTGGATCGGGAGATTCCCAGGATTTCTGCATCCAGGTCATCCAGGTCCTGGGGAGAGAGCCCAAGGGGAGGAATTCCGACCCAACATTGGGAATTCCACCCCAAACATCGGGATTTCTGCACCAAACACCGGGAATTCTGCCCCAAACATCGGGAAATCTGCACCAAATATCAGGAATTCCACCCCAAAGGTTGGGAATTCTGCCCCAAAGGTTGGGAATTCTGTCCCAAGCATCAGGAATTCTGCCCCAAAAGGCTGGGAATGCTACCCCAAATGTTGGGAATTCTGTCCCAAGCATTAGGAATTCTGCCCTAAACATTGGGAATTCCACCCCAAAATGTTGGGAATTCTGCCACAAACATCGGGAATTCTGTCTCCAAACATTGGGAATTCCACCCCAAATATTGGGAATTCTGACCCCAACATCGGGAATTCTGCCCAAGGGTGGGGAATTCTGCCCCAAACATCAGGAATTCTGTCCCCAAACATTTGGAATTCCACCCCAAACATTGGGGATTCTGCCCCAAAGGTCGGGAATTCTGCCCCGAAGGTTGGGAATTCTGCCCCAAACATTGGGAATTCCACACCAAACATTTGGAATTCTGACTCCAAAATTGGGAATTCTGCGCCAAACGTTGGGAATTCTGCCCCAAACTTTGGGAATTCTGCCTTGACCTGTCCATAAAAAGTTGGGAATTCTGCCCCCCAAAGGTCAGGAATTGTGTCCCAAAGTTTGGCAACTTTGCCCAAGAAGGTGGGAAATTCTGTTCCCCAAAAAGTTTGGGAATTCTGCCCAAAAAAGTTGGGAATTCTCCCTTCACCTGTCCCCAGAAAGTTGGGAATTCTGTCCCAAAGTTTGGGAATTCTGCCCTCACTCACCTGTGTCTCTCCCAGATCATCTCCAGGGGATTTCCCGCCAGGATCCTCCTCCAGGACCCCCCTGTGACAGGGATTTGGGATTTGGGATCAGGGATTTGGGATCAGAGGTCTGGGATCAGGGATTTGGGATCAGAAGTTTGGAATCAGGGGTTTGGGATGAGAAGTTTGGGATCAGAGGTTTGGGATCAGGAATTTGGGATCAGGGGTTTGGGATCCAGAGTTTGGGATCGGGGGGATTTCAGATCGGGGGTCTGGGATCAGAAGTTTGGGGTCAGGGGGATTTGGGATCAGGGGTTTGGGATCAGGGGGATTTGGGATCAGGGGTTTGGGATCAGGGGTTTGGGATCAGGTGGATTTGGGATCAGGGATTTGGGATCAGGAGTTTGGGATCAGGGATTTGGGATCAGGGATTTGGGATCAGGGTTTGGGGTCAGGGTTTGGGATCAGGGGTTTGGGATCAGGGATTTGGGATGGGGGAGATTTGGGGTCAGGGGTTTGGGATCAGGGTTTGGGATCAGAGGTTTGGGATCAGAGGTTTGGGATCAGGGATTTGGGATCAGAGGTTTGGGATCAGGGGGATTTGGGATCAGGGATTTGGGATCAGAGGTTTGGGATCAGGGATTTGGGATCAGGGGGATTTGGGGTCAGGGATTTGGAATCAGGGATTTGGGATCAGGGGTTCGGGATCAGGGATTTGGGATCAGGGAGATTTGGGATCGGGGATTTGGGATCAGGGAGATTTGGGATCAGGGTTTGGGATCACGGTTTGGGATCAGGGTTTGGGATCAGGGATTTGGGATCAGGGGTTTGGGATCAGGGGCTTGGGATCAGAGGTTTGGGATCAGGGATTTGGGATCAGAAGTTTGGGGTCAGGGGTTGGGATCAGGGGGATTTGGGGTCAGGGTTTGGGATCAGGGGTTTGGGATCAGGGGTTGGGGGGCTGAGCACTCACCTGGGGCTCACCTGGGGCCAGGTGAGTCGGGATCCGCGGGAAGGGGGAACGGGAGGATCCTCTGGGAACGAGGGAGGGGTCAGGGAGGGGCTCGGGGACCCCCCGGGGATGCAGGGCAGGGGACCCCGGGACAGGAGAAACCCCCCCAGGGGACCCCAAGCTCAGGTGATCCCAAGCTCAGCTGTTTCCCCCAGGTGATCCCAGCTCAGGTGATCCCAGCTCAGGTGATCCCAGCTCAGGTGATCCCAGCTCAGGTGATCCCAAGCTCAGCTGTTTCCCCCAGGTGATCCCAGCTCAGGTGATCCCAGGACAGGTGATCCCAGGACAGGTGATCCCAGCTCAGGTGATCCCAAGCTCAGGTGTTCCCCCCAGGTGATCCCAGCTCAGGTGATCCCAGGACAGGTGATCCCAGGACAGGTGATCCCAGGACAGGTGATCCCAGCTCAGGTGATCCCAGTTCAGGTGATCCCAGCTCAGGTGATCCCAGTTCAGGTGATCCCAGCTCAGGTGATCCCAGTTCAGGTGATCCCAGCTCAGGTGTTCCCCCCAGGTGATCCCAGCTCAGGTGTTCCCCAGGTGATCCCAGCTCAGGTGCCCCAAGCTCAGGTGATCCCAGCTCAGGTGATCCCAGCTCAGGTGATCCCAGCTCAGGTGATCCCAGCTCAGGTGTTCCCCCCAGGTGATCCCAGCTCAGGTGATCCCAGCTCAGGTGTTCCCAGCTCAGGTGATCCCAGGACAGGTGATCCCAGCTCAGGTGTTCCCCCCAGGTGATCCCAGCTCAGGTGTTCCCCCCAGGTGATCCCAGCTCAGGTGATCCCAGCTCAGGTGATCCCAGCTCAGGTGATCCCAGCTCAGGTGATCCCAGCTCAGGTGTTCCCTCCAGGTGATCCCAGCTCAGGTGATCCCAGCTCAGGTGACCCCAGCTCAGGTGTTCCCCCCAGGTGACCCCAAGCTCAGGTGTTTCCCACAGGTGATCCCAGCTCAGGTGATCCCAGCTCAGGTGATCCCAGGACAGGTGTTCCCCTCAGGTGACCCCCAGCTCAGCTGTTCCCCCCAGGTGATCCCAGCTCAGGTGATCCCAGGACAGGTGATCCCAGCTCAGGTGATCCCAGCTCAGGTGTTCCCCCCAGGTGATCCCAGCTCAGGTGATCCCAGCTCAGGTGATCCCAGCTCAGGTGATCCCAGCTCAGGTGTTCCCCAGCTCAGGTGATCCCAGGACAGGTGATCCCAGCTCAGGTGATCCCAGCTCAGGTGAACCAAGCTCAGGTGATCCCAGCTCAGGTGTTCCCCCCAGGTGCTCCCAGGGTGGATCCAGAGGGTCCCACCTTACCATCAAATCCCAGGAGATCCCCGAGCACGTCCTCGACGGAATCTGGGATGGGACACGGACCAGGTGAGCTCCCGTGGGACCAGGTGGGACCAGGTGGGACACCTTTCACACCCCCCTGGATCCCCCCCGGGCTCCCCCCTCGCCCCCCACTCACCATGGCTCATCCCAGCGGATCCCAGCAGATCCCAGTGGATCCCAGCAGGTCCCGGTAGATCCCAGTAGATCCCAGGTCATTCCCAGCCCCGCCGGAGCCTCCCCCTGCTCAGGACCCCCGGCCTGGGGGGAGGGGACAGGAGAGGAGGGGATGGTTCTTTGGGGGTCCCTCCCGTCCCTCCAGGGGGGTCCCAGGGGCTCCTGAGGGGTCTCTGGGGGTCCCGGGATTTCCCCCCCCCCCTCCCTCCCAGGGGTCCCTCGGTCTCCTCCCTGCTCGGGGGGTCCCGGGGGGTCCCTCGGCCTGTCAATCCCTCCCAGGGGGTCCCGGGGGGGGTCCCGGGGGTCCCTGACCCATCAGTCCCTCCCGGGGGGGGTCCCTCGGCTCGTCAGTCCTTCTCGGGGGGTCCCGAGGGGTTCCGGGGGGTCCCTCTCGGGGGGGGGTCCCGGTCCCCCCTCCCCTCACCCCTCCCCGCTCAGGCCGTGGGCGCCGCCATCTTGGTCGGTTGCCATAGCGACGGCGCTCGTGGAAGGCCCCCTCGCACCGCCCCCAGCCACGGGGCTGCCCCGCGCGCCGCCTGATTGGAACGGCGCCCGCAGCACCCCCCGGAATCGCGGGAAGAAACAAAGCCCAAAAGTCGCCCGGAGTGCGTTTATTCACAGCGCAGGGGCCGCGGGGGGTGATTCCCCCCGTCACGCACCCCCCTTGCCGTTGTTCGGCTCGTTTTATGCAGTATAATATTATATATTAATGAGTTGTGTTAGATATACATTAATTGTGCTCCATTTGCATGAGCTGTGCCAGCGAATTCCAGACAAGTGGGAGAGGGAATCATCACCATCCACCACTCCTATACCTGCGCCTTGGAACGCCCCTTGGGGGTTTTCTCTCGGGGGTTTTTGAGATGAAGTAAAAAAAAAAATCTTCCTGGGCTTGAACTTTTCACCCCTGCCCGAAAACTGCTGAGTCGGCACCGCCCAATTAACTCCAAACTGGGATCGTCTCCAGGAGCTTCTCCTTATCAACCTTCAAGGTCTCTTTCTCACGAGCCTCAGAGCCCGTTATCGAAACTCCAAGGTCTTCTGTCCCTGGGAACTCCTCGTTACAAAATTAACTTTACCCTGGCTGTAAATTGGCTCAGCCTGTCCTGATTCCATCTGCAAATCTGCTGGGAAACAACCCCGGCCACGATCTCGGGGCGGTGCTTGGTGTTTGGATCCCCCTTTATGGGTCCCCACGAGCCAAACCCCCCTCAAATCCCGACTCCTCCGTGGGAATATCCCCAAATTCCAGTAAAAACATCCACTAAAGTAGCCCAAGGTCCCCCCAGAAACGTCCCCATATCCCGACACCAACATCCTGATATCCCAAAAAATCATCCTGATACCCCAGTAAAATCATCCTGATATCCCAATAAAAACATCCCAATATCCCAATAAAATCATCCCATAATCCCAATAAAATCATCCCCCAATATCCCAATAAAATCATCCTGATACCCCAGTAAAATCATCCTGATACCCCAGTAAAATCATCCTGATATCCCGATAAAAACATCCCATAATCCCAATAAAATCACCCCATAATCCCAATAAAAACATCCAGGTAAACAACCCCCCGATATCCCAACACAAAATCCCGATATCCCAATAAAATCATCCCAATACCCCAATAAAAACATCCCAATATCCCAATAAAATCATCCCAAACCCCCAATAAAATCATCCCCCAATATCCCAATAAAATCATCCCAATATCCCAATGAAAACATCCCAATATCCCAATAAAAACATCCCATAATCCCAATAAAATCCTCCAATATCCCAATAAAATCATCCCCCAATATCCCAATAAAAACAACCCTGATATCCTAATAAAATCATCCTGATATCCCGATAAAAACATCCAGGTAAACAACCCCCCAATATCCCACCATGAAATCCCGATATCCTGACACCAACATCCCAACATCCCAATAAAAACATCCCAATATTCCAATAAAAACATCCTGATATCCCAATAAAATCATCCCAAAACCCCAATAAAATCATCCCAAACCCCCAATAAAATCACCCCAATACCCCAATAAAATCATCCCAACATCCCAATAAAATCGGTGGATTTTGGGGAGGGGGTCTGGAGGCTTTGGGGGGTCAGAGGTTTTTTTGGGGTGGATGTTGAGGGTCTGGGGGCTCAGGGGGTTTGGGGGGTTGGTGAATTTGGGGAGGGGGTCTGGGGGCTTTGGAGGTCAGAGGTTTTTGGGGTGGATTTTTGGAGGGTTGGGGATTTGGGAGGCTCAGGGGGTTTGGGGGTCAGAGGTTTTGGGGTGGATTTTGGGGATTGGGGGCTCAGGGAGGGGTTTGGGGGTCTGGAGGCTCTGGGGGTCCGAGGGCTCAGCAGATTTGGGGGTCAGAGGTTTTTGGGTGGATTTGGGGGGGTTGGGGAGTCTGGGGGGATTTGGGGACTCAGGGGGTCAGTGGATTTGGGGGTCAGAGGATTTTTGGGGTGGATTTTGGGGGGTTGGGGGGCTCAGGGGGGTCAGCGGATTTGGGGGCTCAGAGGGGTTTTCTGGGGTGGATTTGGGGGGTTGGGGTCTCAGGGGATTTGGGGGCTCAGTGGATTTGGGGGCTCAGAGGTTTTTGGGGTGGATCTGGGGGGTTTGGGGGCTCAGGGGGCCGAGATGATGGCCGGGGCTGTTTCCCATGGGATTTGCAGATGGAATCAGGGCAGGGCCGTGCTGGCTGTGCCGATTGACAGCCGGGATAAAGTTAATTTTGTAACGAGGAGTTTCCAGGGACAGAAATCCTTGGGGTTTGGATAACGAGCTCTGAGGCTCCCTCAGAGGAGGAAGAACCTCGAGGGCTCATCAGGAGAAGCTCCTGGGGACGATCCCGGTTCGGGGGGAGTTGGGTGGTGCTGACTCAGCAGATTTTGGGCAGGGGGGGGGAAAAGTTCAAGCCCAGGAAGATTTTTTACCTCAGCCCAAAGAAAACCCCAAAGAAAACCCCAAAGACCCCCAAAGACCCCCAAGAGAAACCCCCAAGGGGCCATTCCCAGGTGCAGTTGTGGGATTGGTGGATGGCGAGGATTCCGCTCCCACTCTGCTGGAATTTGCTGCCCCATTCCCAAATTTTTCCCTCCCCATTCCCAGTTTTTTCCCTACCCCATTCCCACTTTTCACTCCACATTCCCTGTTTTTTCCCTCCCCATTCCCACTTTTTTCCCACCCCTTTTCCCAGTTTTTCCCTCCCCATTCCCAGTTTTCCCACCCCTTTTTCCATTTTTTCCCTCCCCATTCCCAATTTGTTTTCCTGCACCATTCCCGATTTCTTTTACTGCCCCATTCCCAGTTTTTCCCCACCCCATTCCCACTTTTTTCCCACCCCTTTTCCCAGTTTTTCCCTCCCCATTCCCAGTTTTCCCACCCCTTTTTCCATTTTTTCCCTCCCCATTCCAGTTTCCCACCCCATTCCCAGTTTTCTCACCCCATTCCCAGTTTTCCTGCTCCATTTCCCAGTTTTCCCCCACCCCATTCCTGGTTTTTCCCCACCTCATTCCCAGTTTTTCCCTCCCCATTCCCGGTTTTCCCGAGGCCCAACACGAGGAGACCCCAAAAACACCTTTATTGTTACAAGCGGCTGGAACGGGACGGGGGACTGGGAGGGACTGGGAGGGACTGGGAAGGATTGGGGGGCACTGGGAGGGACTGGGAGGGAACTGGGAGGCACTGGGAGGGACTGGGAAGGAACTGGGAGGGAACTGGGAGGCACTGGGAGCTCCAGGTTCATCCCATCATGGACTGGGAGGGACTGGGAATGTCTGGGTGGTGCCAGAGCTCCAGGTTCATCCCACTGTGGACTGGGAGGGACTGGGGGGCACTGGGAAGTGCCAGGGCTCCAGGTTCATCCCATCATGGACTGGGGGGCACTGGGAGGCACTGGGAGGCACTGGGAGCCGCTATTGGTAGTAGAGCTCCAGGTTCATCCCGTCGTGAATCTCATCTGGAGCGGCAGTCAAGGAAAGGGATTGGGAGTCTGGGATCGAGGGAGCAGTGGATTTTGGGAGGGGGTTTGGAGGGCTCAGGGGGCTCAGAGGATTTTGGGGAGTTTAGGGGAGCTCAGGAGCTCAGAGGATTTTAGGGGGGTTGGGGGGGCTCAGGGGTGGGGTGGATTTTGGGGGTGGATTTTGTGGGGGGGGTTGGGGCTGCCCCTCCCCATGAGGATACAGTCCCCGAGGGTCACGTGGTCCTTGAAGATGGTGTACCTGGGGGGGAGGGGCACGTCAGCCCCTCCCCCAAATCCTGGCACGGTGCCCCTCCCCCTTCCCTCACCTCCAGGGTGCCCCTCCCCACAAAGGCCCTGGGGTGCCCCGTGCCCCCAAACTCTGGGGTGCCCCCAGCCCCAGGTGTCCCCTGTGCCCCCAGCCCCCTCCCCAATCCCAGGGTGCCCCCCACCCCTCAGACCCCTAAACCCCTGTGCCTCCAGCCCCCTCCCAATCCTGGTGCCCCCAATCCCAGGGTGCCCCCACCCTCAGACCCTCCTAAACCCCTGTGCCCCCAGCCCCCTCCCCAATCCCAGGGTGCCCCCCACCCTCAGACCCTCCTAAACCCCCTGTGCACCCCAGCCCCACCCCAGGTGCCCCTTCAGTGACCCCCTCAGCCCCCCTGTGCCCCCCATTCCAGACTATCCCCCTGCCCCCCCACAGGTGCTCCCCAGCCCCCTCAGTGCCCCCCCAGTGCCCCCACAAGCCTCCTTCAATCCCCGGTGCCCCCAGCCCCCTCAGTGCCCCCATCTCCCCCCAGGTGCCCCCATCCCCCTCAATCCCGGTGCCCCTCAATCCCCTCAGTGCCCCCAGGTCCCAAATGTCCTCCCCAATCCCCCAGGTGCCCCCAGTGCCCCCCATTTCTCGAGCCTGATCTTGTCCCATGGGTCCCCCAGCCTCCCAATCCCCTCAGTGCCCCCACAGGTGCCCCCAATCCCCAGGTGCCCCCACCATTTCTTGAGCATGACCTTGTCCCATGGGTCCCCCAGCCCCTCAGTGCCCCGCCAGGTGCCCCCAATCCCCCAGGTGCCCCTCAATCCCCTCAGTGCCCCCCAGGTGCTCCCCATCCCCCACCATTTCTTGAGCACGATCTTGTCCCAGCGGGTGCCCCCATCCCCCTCAGTGCCCCCAGCCCCTCAGTGTCCCCCAGGTGCCCCCCATCCCCTCAGTGCCCCCAGGTGCCCCCCACCATTTCTTGAGCACGATCTTGTCCCAGCGGGTGCCGGTCTGGGCCGCAATCAGCTTCTTCAGGTCCCGGATGGAATCCTCGGGGCTGGGGGTCAAGGAACAACGGGGGAAACAGGAGGACCCCCAGACCCTCAAAAACCCCCCAAATCCCCCAGCCCCTCCAGAGAGGGATACTTGCACTTGACTCGCACCTTCTTCCCCAGGCGGTCGTTACAAACAACCTCGATCATCCTGGGGAGGGGACGGGGGGGAAAGGGGGGAAAATTGAGGGGAAATGAAGGGAAAAAAGGAGGAAAAATGAAGGGAAAAATGAAGGGAAAAGGAAGGGAAAAAGGAGAGGAAAATGAAGGGAAAAGGAAGGAAAAAGGGGGAAAAAATGAAGGAAAAAAGGAGGAAAAATGAAGGGAAAAAGGAGAAAAAGAGGAAAAATGAAAGGAAAAAAAAGAGGAAAAATGAAGGGGAAAAAGGAGGAAAAATGAAGGAAAAAAGAAAGGAAAAGAGAAAAAAATGAAAGAAAAAAGGAAAAATGAAGAGAAAAAGGGGGAAAAATGAAGGGAAAAAGGAGGAAAAAATGAAGGAAAATGGAGGAAAAATGTAGGGAAAAAGGAAGGGAAAAGGAAGGAAAAAAGGGGGGAAAATGGAGGGAAAAAGAGGAAAAATTAAGGAAAAAAAAGGGGGGAAAAGGAAGGGAAAAAGGAGGGGAAATGAAAGGAAAAAGGAAGGGAAAAGGAAGGAAAAAAAGGAGGGAAATGAAGGGAAAAGGAAGGAAAAAAGGAGGGAAAATGAAGGGAAAAAGGAGAAAAAGGAAGGAAGAAGGAAGGGAAAATGAAGGGAAAAGTAAAAAAAAAAAAAAGTAAAAAAAAAAACAACCAAAAAAAAGAAATGGAAAAGAAACAGAAAAGAAGGGAAAGAAAGAAAAAAAAAAAGGAAGGAAAAAGACAGGAAAAAGGAGGAAAAATGAAGGGAAAAAGGAGGAAAAAGGAAGGAAAAAAGGAGGAAAAATGAAGGGAAAAAGAAGGAAAAATTAAAGAAAAGTGAAGGAAAAAATGAAGGGAAAAAGGAGGGAAAATGTGAGGGAGAAGAAAGGGAAAAGAAAAAAAAAAGGAAAAGAAATAGAAGAGAAAAGAAGGGGAAAAAGAGAAAGAAAAAGGAAGGAAAAAAGAAGGAAAAATGAAGGAAAAAGGAAGGAAAAAAGGAGGAAAAAAGAAGGGGAAAAGCAGGAAAAATGAAGGAAACAAAAAGGAGAAAGGAAGGCAAAGAGACCCCTCAGGACCCTTCGGGACCCCCCGAACACCTTCCCGATCCCCTGACCCCCCGGACCCCCCAGACCCCTCAGAACCTCCCGGGACCCCCAAAGGTGCCCCCAGGACCCCCAACACCCCCCCGGTTCATTCTGACACCCCTGAGCCCCCGGACCCTCCAAAACCCCCCGGACCCCCAAAATTCCCCCAGGACCCCCAACCCCCGCGGTACATTCGACACCCCATGAGCCCTCCTGAGCCCCCTGGACCCTCCAGGACGCCCCCGGGACCCCCAGCCCCACCCGGTTCATTCTGACACCCCCGAGCCCCACGGACCCTACAAACCCCCCGGACCCCCAAAATTCCCCAGGACCCCCAGCCCCCCGGTACATTCTGACACCCCCGAACCCTCCAAAACCCCCTGACCCTCAGAATCCCCCTCGGACTCCCCAACCCCCGGACCCTCAAAATTCCCCCAACCCCCCCAGGACGCCCCGAACCCCTCCCGCCGACTCCCACTGGACCCCCAAACACCCCGGACGCCCCAAATCACCCCAGGACCCCAAAATCCCCCAGAACCCCCAAAATCCCTCCTCCGGACCCCTGGATCCCAAAACTCCCCGGAGCCCCCAAAACCCCCCAAACCCCTCCGGGACCTCAAAATTCCCCCTGGTACCTCCTGAGCCCCCTCAGCGCCGCCGCCGGAACCGGAAGTGACGCAGAAGCGGCGGCGACGCCGGAAGTGGTGCCGGGAGGGAGGGCCAAGATGGCGGCGTGGCCTGAGGGGAGAAATGGGGGAAAATTGGGGATAAATGGGGATAAACGGGGGGAATTGGGATAAATGGGGGATAAACTGGGGGAAATGGGGATAAATGAGGAGCAATTGGGATAATTGAGGAGAAATGGGGAGAAATGAGGGGAAATGGGGATAAACAGGGAAAAGGGGGTGAAATGAGAAGAAATGGGGGAATAATGAGGAGAAGTGGCGAGAAATTGGGATAATTTGAGGAGAAATTGAGATAATTGAGGATAAATGGGGGAAAATGGTGAGAAATGAGGAGAAATGGGGATAAATGATTAGAAATGGGGAGAAATGAGAAGAAATGGGGGATTACTGAGGAGAAATGGGGGAATAGAGGGGGAAATTGGGATCAGTGGGGAGAACAGGGATAATTTGGGATAAATGGGGGGAATGAGGTTAAATGGAGGGAATTGGGAATAAATGGGGGGAAAGGGGATAGATGGGGATAAAAGTGGGGGAAATTTGGGATAAATGGAGGAAATGGTGGGAGAAATGGGGATAAATGGGAAGAAATGGGGGAATTGGGGACAAATTGGGGGAAAAGGGGGAGAAATGGGGGAGAAACGGGGGGAACTGGGGGAGAAATGGGGAATTGGGAAGAATTGGGGGATAAATGGGGGGACTGGGGGATGAGGGGGCACCCCCACCCCAGAGGGGCTCCTGGGGGTCCCAAATTCCAGGATCCTCCTGTTCCAGGGGGTCCCAAATTCCAGGGGCTCCCGAATTCCAGGATCTCCCAAATTCCAGGATCCCCCTGTTCTGGGGTCCCAAATTCCAGGATCCTCC